GTCTATCCTCGTCGAGCTCCGACCATCTGTCTCCATCCTTTATCATTATTTTATTTTATTTCCTAACACTAAGTTAATTTTGACAATAATAGCAACCACAATATTATATTACTAATTGGTTTGGACGGTCTTATACCTGAGGACAAGTCCTTCTTGCTGAACAATAATCCAAACTCCAGCAACAACAGCACCTAACTCTTAGCTCCCTACAATTAATTAATTCAAACCCACTAACGTACTTATTCCTTCAATTAATTAATTAATTGATAATATTAACACCCCATTCACTTAGGGCTGACTACTCAACCACTTCTAAAACTAATAGCACTAGCATTATGTAGTTCAAGTTTTTACCCTGTACTAAGTTGGCAAAACTAATATCAAGCATGTTTTTTTTTCTAGTCTGGATTTCTTCTTTCGGTGGTTGTTTGACAGAGAATCTGCAGAATCTAAAATCAGATTAGAGTAAGTACTCTCTACCCCCTACCCTCTTGGTTTTGTGTTAGCAGGATAAATGAATTTGTCTTTCTCTGTAATCACAGTACAATTACCCAGTAGTGTGTTTAACTTGGGAAAATAGAAGTGTATCTCTAATTACACTATAAATCCAGGAGATGCTGCTGCACTTTATATCCTTAGTAACATTGCCCCAGAAGAAGCTATTATGGCAATCTCTGCCAGGCAATGCCCCAAGGCTGAGTTGTACACAGGAGAGAAGAAACTGTTCTAAGCTGTATACGAAAACAGATGTCTAGAATTAGCAGACAGGAGCAGGGAAATGAGGGAGACCCTCATTTCCAGGTATCACTTGAGAGATATAAAATGTTCCGGTAGATCGGTGATAAAGTGTGAAACAGTTTCACAAACTTTGGATTGATTTACTGGCCGATTATTTGTGATCCCCTTCCTTCCTTTACGTGTCCTTTATGTAGAACTCTGGAAGAAATCACAGGGCGTTCTCATCTTCTTGCTGTCCCTCTGCAGCTTTCCACAAAAGCTCCTAGGGAGGAGGAGAGAGCATCCCTTTTCTCCTAGGAGGAAGATGGAATTGAGGTGGGGAAAGGGGATAGGTTTTTTCCTTTCATTTTTTGGTCATAAGAACATAAGAGAAGCCAATGTTGGATCAGGCCAATGGCCCATCCAGTCCAACACTGTGTCACACAGTGGCCAAAAATACCAGGTGCCATCAGGAGGTCCAGCAGTGGGTCTTAACATTGCAGAAGGAACAGGCCGGTCAAGGAGTAATTATTTTCCCTTTCTCTCAAAAGGTAGGGAGAAAAATGTACAGAAAAATAATTGAAACTTGGCATTGCTGCTCTTTCTCTACATATTCTTATAGATTCTTGGCTGTCTTTATTGACCAGTTTTCACTGCCAGGACTCAGACCAAGAATGATATTGAGTAACAAGAGGATGTCTGACATATAGATGCAAAGAACCTTTCATCAGATATCTGTTTACATTATTTATAGTCTGACTTTCTCACGGCTCAAGGCAGATTACACATGAGTCAGTACAATCAACAAGATGGGGCATTCAGCAACTAATGCGTTAGGATATTAGAAGTCTGGAACTACCAGAAAGAAATAGAAGCATAGCATAAATATTAACATGACATATTAAGCAGAACAGAATTCCTACTTGCAGGATCCTACTTGCAATACAATATATACAGCAGTAAAGATCACAAGTTTCAAACATTTATCTAAGTAAGTTTGTGAGACCATTTTGTACTGTGCAGCTTTATTGCCTGTGCAGAAAAGCACTCTCAAATAGTTCAGTTTTACATAGTTTTGTAGAAGATCAGGAGAGTGGGAGGTTTCCTGACCTCCCCCAGGCAGGCCATTCCACAAGGTGGGATCCACAACAGAGAAGGCACATGTGCAGGCAGTTGTTGATTTCGCCCATTTGCAGGCTGGCACCTGTAGAAACCCCTGCTGACATGAGCAGAGTTTTCGTGGCAGAGCACAGGGAGAGAGGCAGTCCCATAAAGGGCCAAGAAGGCTTTAAACCCTTCCTTAAACCAATACCAATAGCTTAAACTGAGCTTGGTAACAAATGGGCAACCAATGGAGGGTTTGCAGAATGGGAAAATTATGCATGCTCCATCTACCTCACACTAATAGTTGAACTGTGGCATTAAGGACCAGTTGGAGTTTCTGAATTGATTTTGAGGGAAGACCAGTGTATTACAGTAGTTTAGTCTTGATTAGGGGTGGTAATGAACCTGAAAAGGGCAGCTTGGGGTTCAGGGCAGCCCATGAACCGAACCATGGACTGACCCGAACGGGCCCTGCCTGAACTGGTCTGGAAAGTTTAGTTCCCCCTTTCTCCAAGCTGCAGCTTGCCAGGACCAGGAGAAAAGGGGGGAGATTGCCCAGGAAAGGACTTCCTTTCCCTCTTTCTCCTGGCCACTGTTTGCTGCCGCCAGGAGAAAGGGGGTGGGGTTTGCCCGGGAAGGGTTAATTGGCTGCCAGCCACTTAAACCGCTGAGCAGCGGACTCCACACCACTTAGCTGTTAGGTTTAAATGGCTGCCAGCCATTTAACCATTTGGCATTGCTCCCTGCTGCTTTGAGGGGGGGGGAGCAATGGACCTGCTGTGCTGTTAGGTTTAAATGGCTGGCCCCAAACAACTGAACTGGCCAAAAGTCCTGTAAATGTTCAGGGAAAGGTGCCTTCCTGGAACGTTGGTTCCCAAACTCCGAACTAGCCCAAGTTTGTGCAGAATTTTGGCTTGTGAGCCAGTTCGTGCCCATTCCTAGTCTTGATGTTCCTGTGGCATGGATCCAGGTGGCTAGGTCAGGTGAATGAAGGTATGGGGCCATTTTGCAGATTAAGCTGAATTGGAAGAAAGCTTTTTTTCCTTGCAGTTGCATTAACTTGCTTCTCCAGTAATAAAGTTGGATCCAGTATGGCCCCCAAGGCTCTTAACTGAGTCAGCTAGGGTCAGTTGAACTCCATCAGAAGTGGGGAGCACAATGTCCTTCAAGGCCTCTGCCTTCCCAGCCAGCATTACCTCTGTTTTTTCAGGGTTTAGTTTAAATTTGTTCACTTTCAGCCAGTTAACCACAGCAGCCAGGCAGCAATTCAGGATGTCTACCACATCACCAGGAGATTTGGATAAGGATATATAGAGCTGAGTATCATCAGCATATTGATGACAAGCAACCCCAAAACTGAATGATTTGTCCTAAGGGCTTTACATAGAGATTAAAAAGCATGGGGGGATAGGACTCTTAGAGGAGCTGATCGGACTTTTAGAGAAGTTTCGGTAAGTTGATAGGACTCTTAGAGGACGCTTGGAGGAGATGGTTCGGAGCCTGGAGGACAGGATTACTACTCTCCATGAAATCAAGGTAGGGGAGGAGTTCATTAACAGAAGCCTTGATGTGCTGCATAGGACCAGTCAAAGGGACGACAGTGTAGTTGACTGCCTTAACTTGACTTCTCAGAGCACTACAGCCCAACCCCAAAGGCATCGAGTGAGACAGCATTCAGTGCCATTAGAACTAATGAGCAACCAGTGTGATGCAGTGACAAAAAAGGCTGATGCAATCTTGGGGTATATCAACAGAGGCATAACATCCAAATCACAAGATGTGGTAGTCCCACTGTACACTGCATTGGTCAGGCCACACCTGGAGTATTGTGTGCAGTTCTGGAGGCCTCACTTCAAAAAGGATGTGAACAGAATGGAGCAGGTACAGAGGAGAGCGATGAGGATGATCAGGGGCCTGGAGACCAAGCCCTATGAGGAGAGGCTGAGGGACTTGGGAATGTTCAGTCTGGAGAGGAGGAGGTTAAGGGGGGACATGCTTGCTCTCTTCAAGTATTTGAATGACTGTTATTTAGAGGAGGGCAGGGAGCTGTTCCTGTTGGCAGCAGAGGACAGGACTCACAATAACTAAAATACAAAAACCACTCCAGGCAGTTACTTTTTCAGATGTAATCACACAAACTGGTGCAGATCTTGGTACTTAAACTAGCTGAGAGAAATGCTGTGCTTGCTTTGATGAATGAAAGATAAAATGAGCAACATCCAAAATAAATCAGGAGGCTTCTGTCATGCTCATAGCTGAGGCACATGGACAGAAAACGTCTTCAGAATTATATAAAATGCATGACAGAGGAGAGTTACTCACTGAAGTGTGACCTAGTGAATAGAATTATGGAACTCTGATGTGGAAAGCTTGGTGCATTGTGGGATACAACCAAAATCTGACGAGGCTTCTTTGTGCTTCTGATCACTGGCTGGCTTGTTTTTGTTTTTTTTAAAATCTGCCGTAGGTGTGTCTTCCTGCCAGATCAAGGAGCCTTCTTTGTGAATTATGTGATAGCATCAGCTTTCATTGGTAATGGAATGGAGCTACTGCGTTTACCAGGCCTCATCCTTTATACTTTTCGCATGATGTTGGCCAAATCAACTGCTGAGAGAAAAAATATCAGGCAGGTATGAAGGCTTTCTGTAGCGCAAGAATATGTTGTTCTATGTCAACCAGATTTAAGCATTAACAATTTGAATCTCTGCTCATTTTGGCTTTGGGCCTTTGTCCCAGAATTCTTTGGACTCCTCAGTTTTAATCTTGATAATGGATCTCCAGTTTTCTGTTGACCTTCTGTGTGTGTGTGTGCTGTCAAATCACAGCTGACTTACGGCACCCCAGTAGGGTTTTCAAGGCAAGAAACATTCAGAGGTGGTTTGCCATCGTCCTCTTCTGGGCCACAACCCTGGTGATCCTTGGAGGTCTTCCATCCAAATATTCGTTAGAGCCGACCCTGCTTAGTTTCTGGGATCTGACTAGCCTGGGCCATCTAGATCTCCTATTCTGGGCCTCCTCTGCAGAGGAGATATAAATAAATAAGGCCTCATACCTACATGCAAAGACAATAGCAGTTTCACTAAAGTCCAAAGCAACCCTGCCACAGCTCTCCAGTCATGGCACAGTGTGTCAGTGATGCCCTGTTAACAGGCAGACAGGGAATCAGGCAACTGGAATATGTTGTCAGGGCCATGTGCCACTGTTGTTGGGGTCATGTGCCACTTGCTGCAACCCACACACAGAATGCCACAAAGAAGGAAAAAGGGGAACGCTGCCTCCCTCTCCACTGTAAGGAGGATTGTGGTGTGATCAGTAGGAACTCTGCAACAAACACACACTGGGAAGCCCTGAAGAAGCTGGTTTGAGCCCCCTCCTGTACCCATGTTTCCTTTTGCCACACACTCACAGGGAAGGAAATAGAGCCACTCTAGACAGTGTAACGCTCCCTGCAGTTGGGCAATTATGGTTCTCAGTGACTAATAGTCTCTAAATACTGTTATTGCTGGCCAAATGTTAATGGTACCAGTTGCCTTGGAGGATCAGAGCTCCATGGAGCTGAGCAGTGTTAGGCATATACTACAACAATATTTGTTTTCTCCTGTGCCTGTTCACGTACTGTGCACTCTTGTTATGCAAAGTACCCTTTCTCTAGATTTCCCATCACCAAAAGGCCCTGGTGTATATCGTAAGCATGTATGATTTGAGGACAGATGTTGCATGCCTTATTCAAGCTAGGGGTGCCCTGGCTGGCATTTATAAAGTGCTTTGGAAAGGTATAAGTGGCTGCAGACTTCATTGATATGTTGCAGTATTTCAGGCTTGGAGGTGGGATGCATGGCAGAATTTGTATTTTTGTTCTGCTTGTGTTGTATAGCACTTTTTAAAAATACAGCAGGGCTATTGCTGGCATCTCTTAAACCTGCTCAGCATGAAGTTATGCCAATTAAGCCCTGCTCCATTCCCACAACATTCCTGACACCACCTGTTATCTGTGCCAACACTTGGGGGCACAGTGGCTTGGCACTGTTGTAGAATTGAGGATGTAGAAACACGGGTTAGGATGGAGTTTTTACCTTGTTAATTAACACAGACATGTAAGTACACACAAAAGTCTGCAATGTTACTTGATTGTGAAGAAGCATACATGTGGCTAGCAGGAGGGCTGGGGATGGAAAAGAAAGCAGTGAGGAAGAAGAGATGGAGGCAGCAGTGGGCAAGTGAAGAAAGAGTGAGGGTTAGCGGGTCCCTCCTTTAACAGAAACAATCAGTGAAGCTTTGGGTTCCGTGAATGTTTCCCCCCTGTAGCCTAATATTTTGTTTCTTTATAGCAACAAGCATTTCAATATGAATTTGGAGCAATGTACGCCTGGATGCTATGTGTGTTCACAGTCATTATGGCCTACAGCATCACATGTCCCATTATTGTCCCATTTGGTAAGTTGGTTGGTGAGTTGGGATTGTAGGGGGACAAGCAGAGGACCATAGTGGAAGGTTTGTCTGAGTAATAGTACAAAGACTTAGAATCACAAGGACTTACTTAGACATGACAGTGGGAGTTCTATGAATGTACCTTTCACGATTTTTTAAACCATGATTCGTATTTGCAGGGGGCCTCCAAGAAGGGGAGGCAGGTATTAATCACCTCCCCTGTGATCTTATAATCTTAGTTGTGTCCTGCGGGGGTAGGCCACTGTTAGCCCCATTGAAGAAAATATGCAGGAGCTCATATGGTGTCTATGTGTTTTCATCTGTGGGGCAGTTGCCTGCTCTTGGTGGCAGGGGAGGGGCATGACTTGAATTAAAATAACAGTGTGGAAGGGGGAAGGGTAAAATTTCTCCATAGAAAATCATCCCTGCAGTTGGATCTAGCCCTCTAAAAGATTGTAGAAGAACCTAATTCTGGATCTTCTAGATCCTGTCCCAAAGGAGGTGGGGCGCAGAGCAGAGTCGCAGAGCCAAGGTGCAAGCTAGCCAAAGTGCAGGCACAATCCAATGTAGTGTGGTCAAAGTCCAGTTCCTAGATCATACACAGAGTCAGCGACAAAAGCAGATTCAGGGCAAATCCAAAAGTCGAGGTCCAGTCACAGTCCAAGAGTCAGAATCATAGTCTGAAGGCAGAGCCAGTGGCGGCAAGATCAGGGATAATTAGACTTGTTGCTTCCACAGCCTGTCTTCTCTCTCTCTCTCTCCACTCTTTATAGAGAGATGCCCATCTCACAGCTGGGTTGCATTATGCAGATGTGTGCGCTCTCCTCCTTACTATCCGGACCCAAGTGTCTCTGGGCTGCTAATTGCACACTCCATCTCCTTTCTTGCATCTCATGACAGACTTTCTTTCATCTATGCTGTAACAGCTCTGGGGATGAGGGAGGCGAGGTGGAAAGTTGGGCGCTCTCTGATTCTCTGTGGGCTTGAACAGCTGGGGAGTTACTGTCAGACTGTGAGTCACTGCTAGGCAATGTTGCAGTAGCTTTCTGCAGCAGGTCGTCCTCAGCTAACTGCAAGCTGGAATCTTCTTCACCTGTCTGTTCTTCCTCTCAGACCTCTGCTTCTTCCGGGCTGGCTGCAGCTGGGTGATCCACGACATTAGCCCTACATTTATTTAAAACATTTATAATCTCACCTTTCTCTTAGGTAACTGGGAGAATTATAATAATAATTACTAAACAATTAAGGGGTTGGAACTTCAGTTTTCAAAGGCTGTCTCTGTTCTAGCTTTCACTTCTGGTATCTGTGCTTTCAGTGATGTCACAAGAGCTCTGTACTGTAGAAAATGCAGTGTTAACAGCCAAACATTTACTACAACACTGAAAGATCCAGGTGATGTAGCCGTGTTGGTCTGAAGCAGCAGAACAAAGTTTGAATCCAGTGGCACCTTTAAGACCAACAAAGTTTTATTCAAGGTATACCTTGTTCTTAAAGGAGCCAGTGTTCTCAAAAATACCTTGAATAACACTTTGTTGGTCTTAAAGGTGCCACTGGACTCAAACGTTCTATAACATTGAAGTCAACCTAATTCAGTCTTTTTGTTACTAGACTGTTGATTTGAGGCACGCTTGAGGAAATATTTCAATAGGCAGTTATTCTCACAAGAAACAACATGACAGAATGAATTGTCTGTGGCACCATGGTGAAAAGAGTAAAAATGCAAGGAACCGAAGTTGTCTGAGTATAGATTGTACTATCCATAGTGTTACATGGCCATACAGCAGTAGTGGCCAGCCTTTCTGATAAGTATGCTAGAAATAAGTATAAGGTAGTAACACTCTAGTACCTACTGTAATACATATTCACACACCCTGGTGTATATATTCCGTAGCCAAGCTAATGGGCATTTCTGATCCTGTTCAGGAGTGCCACACACCCATCTCTTTTTTTGTACCCCCCGAAGAAGATGTTTTTTATTGCATTTTCTAATAACTACATACTACAAACAGAAAATCCAGGAAGGGAAAACTACATCTATGGGAGAAAGTAAAGAAAACCCTCTAAAAACCCAAGAGATGATGATCATACACGCGTTTACAAATTTACCCTTAAACTTAAACACAAGTTAACAGTAGTTGAAAATGTTCATCCATCTAATTAAATGTATCTAGTACGTCAATATTTCATAAAAAGACTGTAAAGCAATTTACATTAAACTACTTTTTAGATATTTCAGAGTACATTGGCATTCTATTTCTTCTTTCCTTTTCTATGTCTCAACTGATAGCCTCGTTTAGGACCCCCCCCCCATTTAGAGTCAAACTCTTCCTCAGAGGATCCGGCCTCTCTTTCTTCTTCGCTTTCCTTGGCTTCACCGGTTGCATCTCTTTCTGCTGGGCTGCTTATGTTGACGCAAAAATTCACAAGCTTTTTCGAGAGAGTCAGTCCTTTCTCTACCATTTACGTATCTGAAGATTAGACCATCGGGTGTTAACCATCTGTAGGCAACATCATGCTTCTGTAAGAATAGAGTCAAGTCTCTATATTTTCTTCTTTTCCTTCTGATTTCAAATGGAATGTCCTTCAATATTCTTATATCTTTGTCTTTGATCTTCAAGGTAGCTCCATTAGATGCTTTCAGTAGTTGATCTCTCACTTTTCTTTGAGAGAATCTTATTGTAACTTCCCCTGGCAAATTGTTCTTTCTAATGAATTCTGAATACGATCGACTGACCATATCTGTTTCGCTTTGGAGTTGATCCACTGTCATCTCTGCCATGGGTGCTAATGCATCGCCAACAATCTGCCTCAGATTCTCTCCTTTCTCTTCCTGGAAGCCTTGAAGCCCAAGACATAGCTTGCTCTTTCCATTTGAAGCTGGAGTACTCTGAATTCTTTGATTTGACACTTTTTTTCCAGTGCCTGCAGTATCTTGTCCATCTTTTTTGATTTGGTGTCAATCACTTTGAGTTCCTGCTCTGTTTTTTCTATTTTCTGTGTATTTGTGGTCATTTGTGCCTGTTGTGCATCCAGCTTGTTGTCAATTGCTGTAATTTTCTCCAGCAGAGGGCGAAGTGCTTCTGATAAGAGCCTTTGGAGTTCCACTATTGAGTCCTGTCTAGGAGTAGAACTCATAGGACTGGAGCTAGAGTTTCCGGGAAGAAGCTTTGCTTTCGCTTGTTTATCTTTAAAGTCCTTTGCCGTCAACGGCGCCATGTTTGAGATTTGTTTACTTTTTTCCAAGTTGTCAAAGTCTCTAAAAGTTCTTTAAGAGCGTGGTAAGTTTTTACAGTCTCTTTACTTCGTTCGCTTTTTATAGCAGGCCCCCCCTTTTTTTGTAGCTAAATTTGCCTGTAAACAGGCCTTATCAGAGGGGAGTCCCCCCCCCCTGTTTTATTTTGGTGGGGCCGAGCACTTTTTCTTTGTTTCGCTTTTACTTAGACTCACACTTTCAATGGTTGCTCGCTCGCGTCTATTTTCACTTGATCACCAAACGGATCTCCAGAGTCTAGCTCAAAGCACCTTACAAATAAATCATTAATTTAAAAAAACAAGACATTAAAAACAATCCAGTAAAATCTCTGTGACCTGGCTCTCATGTTGAATAGAAGTTGCCCTTTAATCAGATATGCCACATACTCAAGCTTATTGCTCTTTACTACTCCCTACTTAAGGCAATTTGCAATAAATACATACATACATATATATGGGGTGGGTGGGTGGGTGGGTAGATAGATAGATAGATATCTCCATATCCATACAGCAGCTGCTGGCATTAGGAAAGCTATCGGATCTGTGTTTCAATTTCTTATATTCTTCTCTTCCTGTTCTCATTTAAAGCTTCATAGTAGTTAAAAGGCTTAACTCAATTTCCATATTGGATTCCATATTTGGATTTTGAGTACAACTGCTGCGTGGATATGCTTTTTCTTGCAATATTTTGCTTTCCAGAAAACAATTTATTTATCAGAAGATTATTATAAATTTCAAGAATTACATATTTTGATGATCTAAAGCTCTGCTTTCCTATACATAATATGTATAGGAGAGTTCTCACAGGTTAGCCTCATTATCTTTGATGGAATGCTGGTTTATGTGGAGAACTCTCCCTGATAAATCTATGTTTATCTAACAGTGATACCAAGCACTGGTCACCAGAAAAGAATGATCACAGTGAAGCATATTGTTTTCTTTTTTCCATGACAGATTTAGTTGAATAAATAACCCGTTTCTTTACACCACCAAAGGTGTAGTTGTTTAATATTTGCAAAATAATAAACATTGGAAACCTGCATGAAATTCTGAAGCAGTCACATGAATAGAATGCTTATAAGGAAAGAACTGGTTTCTGATGAACATACTTGCTTTTTTTGCAGTGACAAGAAGTAAACTTTTTGAGGGCAGTATTGTGTAAGAAAAATGTGCTGCCTTATATTTGTTAAATGAAGGAAAAGAGCACACAAAAATAGTTTTCATTTCTATATCTTGCCCTAAACCATATGTGGTGCTGGGACCCAATGGGTCCAAATGACTAGAAGGGGCTGAGGGCAGTGATGACAACCAGGGGGCCTTTTGGTCTGGGGGATGCTGGACTTCCACAAGGCTACAGGAAACTAACAAGGCCAGAGTGCCCAGGGCCATCCTCTGGTAGGGAGGATGTGGCCAGATACCCATTCAGTGGGCCAAGGCTGGCGCCTGGCATTGGCTGCTGGTGGAGTGGAAGGTGGGTCACTAGGACTTGAGGTGCAGGTTGGGTGTGAAAACAAAGTAGGTGTAGGCCAGTGAGGCAGAGTTGCTTGTTAGGTAGCACCTTAAAAACAGTAGTCATGTTTAGGGGTAGCTTATGGAGGAGAGCTGGGTCAATACAGTGTAACATGGAGCCAGCTGCGATTAGCCGTGTTTCCAGAGCTGTGGGACAGTAAAAGGAAGATGATTGACACAGTTGGAGCTCTTGAAGTGCTTATTTACCCAGATGGGGAAGGATGGACTCCTGCCCACTATGCAGCCTGCTCAGGCTTCCTGTGCTACAGGCCTCCCAGGAGGCCACCAACCTGACAACCCTGTACAAAATCAGAGCGTATATCCTTTAATCAGTGGCAGAAATGTGAAATAGGATCATTTTATGTCTTATGCATGTTGTAATTCTTTGCTAGCATAGAAAGCCTGAACATTTTTGATGCCTGGGCCTGTGCTGAATTTAAAAAAACAAAACTAGGTCTTGGTCAGTCTATTTTTGAACTAGGAAATGGGGGTAAATATGTGTGTTACTGAGCCAGTTTGGTGTAGTGGTTAAGTGCGTGGACTCTAATCTGGGAGAACTGGATTTGATTCCCCACTCCTCCACTTGCACCTGGCTGGATGACCTTGGGCAAGCCATAATTCTGGCACAGTTTCTGTCAGAGTTCTCCTCACCTACCTCACAGGGTGTTTGTTGTGGGGAGGGGAAGGGAAAGGAGTTTGTAAGCCACTCTGAGACTCCTTTGGGTAGTGAAGGGCGGGGTATAAATCTAATCTCCTCCTCCTCCTTTAATAACTTGGGTCTTCTTTGCTATTTTCAGGATTAATATACATGCTCATGAAGCATACAGTTGACCGCCACAATCTGTATTTTGTATACCTCCCTGCTAAACTAGAGAGGCAGATCCACTTTGCAGCTGTGAGTCAGGCCAATGCAGCTCCAATTCTCTGCCTGTTTTGGCTGCATTTTTTCTCTTTTTTGAGACTGGGTAAGTAATGGATGGTCTTTTGAGTGAACATACTGAGGAGGGTAAAAGTTTCTTATGTAGCAGAGTGACAGGAGAGAAGGTGACATGGTATAACCTGATCTTTGAAGTTAAGCAGGGTTGGTACTTGGATAAGAACATAAGAGACCTGCTGGATCAGACCAGAAGTCCATCTAGTCCAGCATCCTGTCTCACACAGTGGCCAACCAGTTCCTCTGGATGGCCAGTAGCAGGGCATGGAGGCTGAGGCCTTCCCCTGATGTTGCCTCCTGGCTCTGAGATTCAGAGGATTAGTGCCTCTGAATGTGGAGATTCCTCTCAGTCACCATGGCTAGTAGCCATTGATAGTCTTATCCTCCATGAATGTATCTAATCCCCTTTCAAAACTGTGTATTTCTGTGGCCATAACTACATCCTCTGTTAGGAAATCCCACATTTTAATCACTCTCTTTGTAAAGTACTGTTTCCTTTTATCCATCCTGAACCTGCTGCCCAAGAGCTTCATTGGATGCCCTCAAGTTCAAGTATTTGGGGGAAAGGAGAAAAAAGTTATGTTTGTCAGCTCTCTCCACCCCACACATAATTTTATAAACCTCTATCATGTCCCCCTTAGTTGTCTCTTTTCTAAACTGAAAAGTCCCAAATTCTTCAGCCTTTCCTTATAGGGAAGGTGCTCCAACCCCATATCATCTTGGTTGCCCTCTTCTTTTTTTCAGCTCTGATATGTCCTTTTTGAGATACAGTGACCAGAACAGTATACAGTATTCTAAATGAGGCCATACCATAGATCTCTACAGGGACATTACAATATTAGCCATTTTATTCTCAGTCCCTTTCACAATAATTCCTAACATAGTTTGCCTTTTTCACTGCTGCAGCACACTGGGTTGACACTTTGACTGAGCTATCAACTACCACCCCATGATCTTATTCCCTGTCAGTCTCACAAAGTTCAGACCCCATTAGCCTATATTTGAAGTTGGGAGACCACTAAGGAAGACTCTACAGAGGAGGGCAATGGCAATCCACCTGTGCTGATCACTTGCCTTGAAAGCCCCTTGCTGGAGTTGCTGTAAGTCAGCTGTAACTTGATGGCAATTTTTATGCATGCACAGACACACACACACACACCAGAGCGACATTTGTGTGGATATCTCTAAATTACAGTAAATTTTAGTAACCCGACCACAGAGCAAAGTTATGGTGTAGTACAGGGCTTTCTGAGATTAGAAACAGCTAATAAAACAGTCTCAGATATTGAGACTATCCCTTCAATGTAAATGGCGGAAGAGGAGGAGTACTTTTTCCTCCAAGACTTAATACATTTTAAGGTTGTGTGTCTGTCATCTGCTTTCTTCTGTACATTTTGTAATAATCAGCATAATTCCCACTCACCACAAACCACATCTCCTATTTTATATTTTATTTATAGATCTCTTCTGTCTTTTTCCTTAGGTTTTAGAGCACCTACAACTGTATTTACATTCCTAGTTGTCAGTGCAGCAATTATTATTTGCTTAGTTTCTGCTTGTTATGCCTGCCTGAAATACCTGAGCCCCCTCAATTACAAGGTACATTCACACTGGTTATATTGGGGAGTTGCTAAATAATAATCTGTACTTTATTATAGGTCTGGTTTGCAGCTTTACATTAGTGCTGGAGTGGTCAAGCTATTTTTTTCTTCTTCAGTAAAAACAAGTTCTGTCTATGATGGCTCAATTCAGGCCACACACAAGGAAGCTTAACTGGAGAGCTGGTGTGGTATAGTGGTTAGTGTGTTGGACTAGGGCCTGGGAGACACCGGCTCAAATCCTGTCACATACTCTCAGTTTAACCTACCATACAGCGATGTGAGGATATAATGGGAAAGGAAGAATTGTGTACATTGCTCTGAGCTCTCTGGCCAGATGGGATAGAGGTTTGTGAATGGCTAGAAAACCAGACTTGCACAGTAGAATTTAAAGTAAATATGCAAAGCAGACAATAGACACAGCTGTTGCACTGTCTCTTAATGGGGAATTTATGAAGCTGAGTGCTAAGAGGGTGGAAGACAAACACAAACAAGTTGTTCTGGAGTTTGTTTGTTTATTTATTTGATTTATATACCACCCTCCCCATAAATGGGCTCAGGGTGGTTTACATCAATTAGTATGATACAGATTAAAGCAACATTAAAATAACAGTTTACACAGGATAAAATCATAGAATACCATGTCAAAACAGAGAGATCAGATGTCAAATCAATGGTGGGTTCCCTGATGTTTAATCAGATCCAGGCCACTGGTGGGAGATTGGCCAGGAGATGGGGAAGGGGGGGGGAGTCTGCCTCCTCAATCAAAAGTCCAATGGAAGAGCTCCGTCTTGCAGGCCCTGCGGAACTGCAGTAAGTCCTGCAGGGCCCTGATCTTGTACAGGAGCTCATTCCACCAGGTGGAGGCCAGGGCTGAAAAAGCCCTGCCCCTGATTGAGGCTAATCGGACGTCCCTGGGGCCGGGGACCACCAAGAGGTGTCGACTTGTGGACCTCAGTGCCCTACAGGGCTCGTATGGGGAGAGGCAGTCTCGAAGGTATGCTGGCCCCAAATTGTACATTTGGAAGTTCAGTCAGTAGTTAAGGATCTCAGCTGTGGTTAGTACAAGTCACGGTTTGGTATGTTTAAATTGAGCCTAAGCACTGTCCCAAGTCTTTAACTGTATTTAAACAAGGGCTTTAAAGAGGGAGGAAGCACCTTGTATTAATTAATTAACCATTTGAATAGAAAAATATAATACAGAACTAAAGTGGGAGATTGAGAGTTCTGGGGACTGTAACTGAGAGCTGTGTATTCTAAACATTGCTGTTTACGTAAGACTGCATATATGTTTGAATTTTGCTTTATTGGTTGGTCTCTTCTCCATTGATATCCATAGCTAGAAGACTCAGCCGTTGAAAAAGGAAGTGAAACAGATTTAGCAACTGGAAACGTTTCTGTAAGCATTTTTCAAAAAGTATATTTAACATCCCTTCTGTGAAATGCTTTCTTGCCCGCAAAGGGTTAGCACACGTTAGCAAGTCCTGTGTTAGTGACAGAATACTCGCATTTGCTGACTTCTCGGCCAACTGACAGAAAGTACTGATCTGCTAGCAAAATTCAGCAAAGATTCAGGTTCAATAAGATATGCTTAGAATTTCTTTGCTTAACTGAGTCTTTGATGAATTGATTCAATTTGGCAATAGCTGATGTTTTAGATACTGGTTTTGAGCTCTCAAGGTCAGGAAGTGTTTTATCTGAGAGTAGTCAACAGCAGGTAAAATATCTTTGCTTCTAGTCTTGAAAAGCATATCATTTGGTGTGGAGACTAGTTTGTTAGGTGGCATACCTGGGAGTTTGGACGCATTTAAATGGATGATAGACAGGGAAGGAGGGGACACTATGGGGCAAATGTTTGAGGAAATATTTTGAAATAATTATGCAGCATCTCTTTGTTTTTCATTATTCAGGATGTTAATTATCTGTCATTTCAGATATATCTCCCCCATGTTCTGGTTCCCAGTTCTACTGAAAGGGCAAATCTGTTGCATCTGGGGAGGCTGAACTATGGTGCCATGGGAAATACGACCCCAAAGGTAGAAGGCGGCCAAGTCCCTTTATGTGAGGAAACAGTCATTGGATAATGCAGTTCAAAGGCAGAAGAAGATCGTGATCCCTCTTATTCTGAGGAAAGGGTCATTGGAGAAACAAAGAAGTGTGTGTTTCAGTGTCATGGACTAACACAAGATGGCACCCTTGGCCCTGATTCAGAAGAAAAGATTCCATTGAAAGGTTAATTTCCCAGTCTTTTCTCTCAGGAGTAGGTGTAATAGGAATATTCAAGAAGGGCTCAGTTGCAGTGCTGATTTTACAAAGTTGCCACACAAGACTCTTCGCTTTTTAAGTCTTCACAAAAATTGTGGCATAGGCATATGGAACAAAAGTGCTCAGAGACGTTGCTTTGGGTTTTTTGTCTGTTTGCCTTTGTGAAGAGATTTGGCTAAATGCTTTGATCTTAGATCACTGGAGCCAAAAGAGTTATCAAAACACAGCACCTGTCTTGTTTATTTTGAAATTATGCCCCTGACTTTTAACCAGGCCTTGGTTGTCTGCCATACATTTGATTAAGCCCAAAGGCAACATCTTCTATATATAAACAAACATAGGGAAAACTAAGAAAATGTAGTCTGGAGGATATAGTCCAGTGTTCTGCCATCTCCTCATATTAGCAAGGTAGGTTGGAGCATTTGTCTTTCTTTAAAAGGGGGGGTGGTGGTTCCTGTAAGGAGATGCCATAACTTGAGCACTTAGTGCGAGAAAGTATTTATTCGTGAACTTTTAAGTATGGATTGCATTTGTTAATTTTCTGGTCACTATTTTAAGGACCTCACACACAGGGAAGTTTACTTAACAAGCAATAAATAATGTAATTTTTAAATCATTTTTAATCTCTCTGGTTATAAAAATAAACGTCTGCGTTAAGTGCCAAGAGTATCACAAATATATGAAGTGTTAGACTGTTTTTAAATTATGAAGTAGGTATAAATTTCTGCAAGAGCTGTGTTAATCCACGCATAAATTAAGTAATCACATTCAATAAAACACTGTATTCAGATATACCTCTGTGATGGACTTTCTTAACATAATACTCTTTACCACAATATTGCCAAGTTCTAGTTTTATAATGAGACTCTAATGTAGAGCTGCATAGGAATAAGTATGTAAAATCCCCAGGCACTCATGTTGCTCCCTACAAAAAGATAATGAAAATACACATTTTCAGAATAGTATATTCTACATCCAGTATCCCTGGATTGTTGAAATTTGCAAAATAATAATTATATATATATACATATGCTACTCTGAGCTGCTTGAAGGAAAGGTGGGATAAAAATTACTATGCAAAGACTAGCAGAATTATTGGTGGCTCTTCAATTTACTCAGGTTGCTGGATGAGTGCCAAGTAGCAAAGTCAAGCCAGCTGTTTTTACACAGAAACTGCAAACACAGTTGTGCCAGACCAGGGTGGGGATTCAAACATGGTGTCAGTGAAAGTCAGTAGTTAGCTATTAAAAAACTGGAATCACAAAGCTCCTGCCAGGATACTTTGGCCATGGTCTGAGCTGCATCACTTTTGATTTGCAAGTACGACAGGATTGCCAGTTCTGGGTTGGGAAATTCCTGAAGATTTGGGGGTGGAACTTGAGGAGGGCAGGGTTTGGGGAGGGAATGGACCTCAATTGGGATATAATGCCACAGAGTCCACTCTCCAAAGTAGTCATTTTCTCCAGGGAAACTGATCTCTGTCATCTGGATGTATTAAGGCATTTTTAAACACAACCCTTGAAGTAGTTTTTGTCTAAATTGGATTGTACCCAAAATATGACACCTACAATGACCTTCATCTATAAATGCCGCTGGCCTGCTTTCTATTTTGCTTTAACAATGATCACATATTTACTTATACAACAAAAAAGGAGTCAATTTAAGTGTCCGGTCAGTTCTCTTCTTACAGTGAGTACCAATCCAAGCCTCCTTGAAGCTCTAGTGGCTTCTTGTCCTTTTTAATGTAACCTTCTTAAAGGCTTGTTTCTGGACTTCTAATAGATATTTAGTGCACTGCTTTTAGTGTTACCTCTGCTTACAGACAGATCATTACCTGAAAGGTGACTCAGGGCTTTTGCAGGAATAGATAATTTATTTATATCCTGCCCTTCTCCCCAGTGGAGATCCAAAATGGCTTACGTGGCTCTCTCCTCCTGTGTTTTATCCTCACAACAACCCTGTGAAGTAGGCTAGGCTGAGAGTGCATGATTGGCCCAAGGTCACCAGCAAGGTTCCATGGTAAAGTGGGGATTCGAATCTGGGTCTCCCAGATCCTAGCCTGACATTCTAATCACTACGCCATGCTGGCTGGATTTGATCCCCCCCCCCCGAAAAAATGGTTCCCTAATGGCTCTTGGGGATTTTCCTGCTGATGTGGCTGGAAGTTCTGTTGCCTCTCTGGAATTGGGAGGTCTGTTGAACTGTTGATATGATTGCTCTTAAGCACCCTCTCTCTTCAGCTGGAACACATTTGGAAAGCCTGTTCTGTGGTAGTGATGGCAGTGAAGAAATCATACTATTTAGCCACCATAACATCTGTTCAGAACAGACCAACAATGCTGTTTAAGGTGGTGAGGCCTTTTACAGTCTGGCTGTTGGCCCCAAATAGTGGAACCTTCTAGAGGAGATTGTGGCCAGTTTGCTAAGTGCTTTACAGATAAAGTTACTCACATCCCTTCTGCCTGGGACTCCATATTAACTGTTGCACTGAATGTTGTTGAGGTTTCAGCTTGTTGGGTTTGCATGGATACCTTTCAATTATTTTATCCTGGGATGTAGACGGAATACTTGGTGATAAGAGACCACGTGTCCCTGCGCCCCTCATCGTGTGCAATATTTGCCAGGGGGTAGGGCCTGAAGGGATAGGGGCCTGCTCATTACAGGGGGGCCTAGGACTATTACTGTTAACAAAACTCAGATGCCTCTTCAAGAGCCACTTTTAGGTAACATGGATCTGAAAAACTATAGACCAGTATTTAATATTCCCTTTTGGGGGATGTCTTGAAGAGTAGTGTCTAGAGAACGCCAGACATTATGAAACTTAAGTATCTAGAGTATTTTTAACTTGGATTCAGATGTGGCTATGGCACAGAAACTGTCTTGGTTGCCCTATATGTTATTATTTTTAAAAACACATTTATAATAATTTTTGCCTGCTTGCTTTTGTGTGCGTACTAGTTTAATTTCCTATGTGAGCACAACCATACTCTTTGGTTCCCTCAGGAGACAAGTAGGTGCCCTAACTTCTATTTCTAATCTGTGTGTGTGTGTACTTTTATCATTGCATTTGTTCTTTTTCCTTGTTCAGTCTCATGAAGAATATCTTGAATTTCAATACTGTTCAACTATTTACATCAGCTGATCTTACCTACTTTAAGACCTCTGTATAGCCTGCAACTGCTTCATCAGTTGGTCTCTGTAACCGCTTAGCAAGAGTCTACATTTCATGTGTCTGCAACAGCTGCAAGGGACAGGATGGCTAGCCAGGCAGAGTTTCAACCCAAGTGCAGCTGTTTCATAAAACTAGGACAATGAATAAATTTAAAGGCATGTGATCTGAAAGCAGTCCCCTATAGAATTCACCACTATACATGATTCCTACTTATTGTTGCCTTAATTTCAAAAACAACTTCCAGTCTTTACACTTTTTCATTCTTACAATAATATAATGCCCCATGTACCATACTGTTTTTATCTCTCCAGTGGTATCCATATATTTGATTCATCAGTTCTCCCATTACTTTTTTCACCACTGTTCCTCCTTGCGGTATATGTCTCCTAACTATTGCAAAACCTGATGTCATGCCTGTCAGCATAGAATGCAAAACCTTCAAATGCCAGCTATAATGAATGCAGCTCCAGTGCTGGGGTTCTGACACACTGGGCCAGCTTTCTCCCTGCCAGCATGTAAGCAGTTATCTCTTGGGAAGTGTGTGAATTTAAGCCAGCTGTCTTGATTGTCTACACAAAGGATTATTTTCTAATCTTCATGAAGGAATGCAGCTGAGGGAGCCTGCAGCTGGCCAAAAAATGTGTCAGACTACTTTCCTATTCAGTACATCTCCATTACTAATATGTCCTAATCTAGAACTGTATCTGTTAACCCTAATCCAGAGAGATTTGATTAGTCTGTTCCCTTTTGGACTATTTGGTACTTAATGCATACATTGTGTCTTGCTAATGTTCTTCTTTGATACATGCATTGGCCTACATTTTGAAAGTGATGAGAAACTCTGTCAACCTGTTTTTCTCCTGAGCTCGGTAGGGGGTTTAAGAACATAAGAACATAAGAGATGCCAATGTTGGATCAGGCCAAAGGCCCATCCAGTCCAACACTCTGTATCCCACAGTGGCCGGAAATACCAGTGCCATCAGGAGGTCCAGCAGTGGGGCCAGGACATTAGAAGCCCTCCAACTGTTGACCCCCCCCCCAAGCACCAAGAAGACAGAGCATCACTTGCCCCAGAGCCCCTATCTATACCTTGTGGCTAATAGCCACTGATGGACCTCTGCTCCATATGCTTATCTAATTCCCTTTTGAGAAGGGAAATTGGGTTTGTATGTGTAACAACGAATGCTCATCCTTGAACAGTGTTTTGAACATCAAATCTGCCAGTGAACATATGGATCAGACCCTTGGTTCATTAAGGTCAGTATTGTCCAATGCTCCCTCTAAGCTGTGGAGTCTTGTGAGCAAAAGTTCTACTTTGTGAGCTAATGGAATTGAAGTTGTGAGCAAGTGATCTGGCTACTGCATAAATTAGTTTGGTCTAGAGCCATCCTTCCTGAGCTAAGGCAAAAATGTGTGAGCTGGAAGCTAAAAAACTGTGAGCTAGCTCACACTAACTCAGAGGGAACACTGGTGTCTACTCAGACTGGCAGTTGGTCTCCAAGTTCTCAGGTCGAGGTATCTCATATCACCTACCACCTGATCTTTTCAGATGGAGATGCTGGGGATTGAACCCGGGACCCTCTGTGTGCCAAAGCAGATGTTCTGCGACTGCCACTGAACCCTGGCTCTTCCCCCTTGAGGTCCTGCTTTAGTTTTCTAGGCTGTCACCTACCAAGCAGGATCTTTTTGATACTTTGGGACTCATTCTGCCATAATGTTCACCTGTCCCCTTTGCTTTTTTCAGAAGTGGGATTAAGACACTAATTTTTTCCACTGAGCTTGTATTAGGTGAGGCTGAGGTCTAGGCTCCATTTTGCTACTGATTATTGGGCTGATGGAAGATTTTATGGGGTTTTTAGTTAGTATTTCGTTTTGTCAATTGCTATGAAAACACAGCAACAAGGCAGTCTGTATCTTATACATGAATAACAAATATAAATTGAAGGGGTTTTATATTCAGGATTCCTGCACAGATTGTCTCCTTGAGTGCAGAAGTCTCTGTGCAGGCTACACAGGAGGGAAAGGATCATGCCCAAAATTTGCAGACTGATGAACTTTGATAAATTGGGAATAATCCTTTAAAAAGAAAAGCTTAGTTTTCTAGTGATTTTCATGTCCTTAGTGGTTGGGAGAAGTGCTGTATAGTCACTGAAATTGTCTTTGCCTGCAGATGAGCCTTGCTGGTTTGTAGTTCATGTTCTAAGGGAGATTGTAGCATCTCAAATGTTTGGTGAGGATAGGGAGAAATGCTGGTTGTACTGCTCTATGAGTAATGGCATTTCAGGGTGACAGTTCTCTTGTGATCTCTGCCATGTGTGATAGTCTGTATAGTGCTGATGGGGAAGAAGCAGGGCTGCAGAAACTCTATGAATAGCTGTTGCAACTCAGAAAAGCAGATGCAGCTCTATGCCTTGTGTTCTTCATAGAGGATAGTTAGTTGTAATTGATGGGTTAGGATGCTGATGTAGATTCTATACCAAGATACTTACTGAAGCTAGATACTTTACTTGTATGCAGACAAAGGAAGAGAAAATTCTGTACAAAGATTCTGTTTAGCTTGAAAGCATGAGC